TTGCTTGTTATTTATATTGTCCTATCACTTTAGTAGTTTGTTTATCCTTGTGTTACTTGTATATCCTTGCACATATATTTGTAACATATCATTCTCGTTAGGATATATTTGCTAATAAGTTTTTAATTGGCATAAATCGGATTAGATTAGCATAAACCCTATTCACTCCCTCTAGGGTGCTTTCAATCGAGGTTGAAAAAATTGAAAAATAAAAAAGAAAGATTCTCAAAAGTGTACCCAACAAAGCTATTCTTTCAAGTACGAAAACGTCACTATATTCCATGTGCTCAACAAGGGTAATTGGCTCAAGCTTCCAGAAGCACAACACTCTTAAGAACTTGGAAAACCTATTATTCGTAATTATTGACTCTATAACTAGATGTTGGGGTACCTGATGAAAAACTTTTATATCCTTAAAGATAACATGCATACATTCATTGATTCAAAGATCCTCAAACTTCAAATTTAAGCAGAAGAAAGTTATTGTCAACATGGTGACCCTTCAATTTGACTCTATGCCAGAACACAAGTTCAAAATGGTTTCACCCCAACTCCCGTCACAAGAATGGTGCTGGTCAATTATGATCACCAAGGTAGACAAAGTGAAGGTTTTGTCCCTCTCACAACCAACAAAAGAGAAATGATGTGCATTCATCCTGACATTCTCCAATACAAACCTTGGACTCCTCCCAAGCCAACAACTCATGTGATAACTAAGGGCAAGATAAAGTCTTGTAATACAATCTCTGCAATAATACCATTTCCGCAATTGTATGTGAGGAATGTTTGCATGTCTCCTCAATAACTAATTTGGAGGAAGATAATACGACCATGGTAGCACAAGCAGACTAGACTCCGCCAGCAAGAACAAATTTTGATAAGGGTTACTTGAAGAATTATGATCATGTGAGACCTTTTAAGCAGCCTAAAATTGCTAAATAGAAGAAAACGTCATTTGATAAGGAATTAAAGCCACTGTTTGTTGGACTCAAAGTTTCATTCTGATATGACATTTTGGCTCAACTAGCCAACATCCTGCTCGTATAATCTTATATAAACTTCTACATTTGTCTGAGGATGTGAGGGAAGCTTTGAGGGAAGCATTGATGGATAGTGAGGTGTGTCTCGCCCATATGTTTGAGCCTTCCCAAGTTGATGATCAAATGTAATGTTACCAATATCAACAACATAATGCTACTAATATCAACAACAGAAGCCTTGCATCACCTTCACTTTAGAAGATATGCTTATCAAGGACCATAATCATAATCTGTCTAGCTATCACACAAGATATGATGGTTCAACCGAAGTCGAGCACATCTATATCCATCCAGGATCTACCTTGAACGTTATCCTAGGAGGGTCCTCATCTTCCAGGGTATCCAACTTATAAGTTGTCAAGAATGACCGCCAACATCTTCAGTTTTAATTCCAAAAGTAGTTGGCCAATAGGCAAGATTCGTCTCAAATGCCAGCTTGGTGACTCAAAGACATAGGTAACATACTATGTTATTAATGTACAAACACCTTATAACTTGCTCTTAGAATAACGATGGATCCATTTAATATAATCATCCCCTCAATACATCATCAGTGTTTCAAGTATGTCGATGATCAAGGGGTGGCCAAAAAAATCTATGCTGATACATCCCTTTAAAGGAGTGGAGAACTACTTGAGTCCTTCATTTATGATGAAAAATCACATAATCGAGGTAGTCATCCCAGAAGATATCGATAGTGGTAATGAGGTGGATAATGAACCAGATCAAGACAAGGACCCCATTTGGGAGATAGAACCCCTTGTAATAATCTTAGAAGATCTTTGTATAGACCAGTCTGCCAAAAAATGCAGGTGACTGTATTTTTAATGATGATGCAGATAACGTAGAATTTGCTTATGATTATTCTTCTATCTCTAAATCTAGACAAGGACCCCATTTGGGAAATAGAACCTCTTGTAATAATCTTAGAAGATCTTTATATAGACCAGTCTATCGAAAATGTGGGTGGCTGTATTTTCAATAAAAACCTAAAGGCCGATGCTTTACTTTCTATGTTAACTTTAGAACTATCTTTGTACATGCTAATAAAAAGAGTCTTATATGATTGGCCAACAGCTGGATAGCTTAAAAGATGTCATCTTTTATTATTTCAACAAAGGGAAGCACTCAAGAGGCTGTCATCTTCGGGAAAGCCAAACCACAACCATACCCATCGTTTTTTGATGACAAAGTTGAAGAAACACCTAAATTCTCTCCTTACAGTAAGTAATCTCATCATATAAGGGCGAAAATGGTTTATAATTTCACCCTAAAGAAAGGGTTGAACTTTGAACAAGGACCAAAAGTTCCACTAACCCCCTTCATACCAAAAAGGGAGAGCATCGATTACTTCAATCGAACCAGACATGAGCTCGGATATCTTTCCCCAGAGTTCAGCATGTAGACGGAAACCAATGCTTAAGAATTTACTAAGTCATTCTTCAAATACATCTGATTGGAATTTTGATGTTAGCATCAATACCATGTTTGAAGAGTTCACACTCAATATAACTTCATATAGCTAAATCGAAGAGCTTAATGAATCGGAAGTGTTCGGGACACATGAACCCGCCAATAGAAGATAGGATGATCCAAGTCAATATTGGTGATGAAGCCAACCCTAAAACTATCTTCATCAGCGAAAGTTTATCGTCGGCTGAGGAAGAAGAACTCATATCTCTCATTCAAGAATTTATTGATGTCTTCGGTTGGAGCTACGAAGACGTGCATGGACTGGATCCGAGCATGGCCATGCATCATATTAATATTGACCCCATCGTCAAGCCGGTCAAACAACAATAACGATGCTTCCGTCCTGAGTTGATAGAGTAAACCGAGATAGAAATTCATAAACTTATTGAGTGCAGTTTCATCTGTAAAGAATAGCACCCAGACTTGTTGTCCAATATTATCGTCATAACAAAGAAAAACAGGAAGATCAAAATCTGCATCGATTTCAGAGATCTCCACTTGACTTTGTCCAAAAGATGAGTTCTCTCTCCCTATCACGGATGTCATGATTGACAATATGTGTGAGTTTGAGAGCATGTTGTTCATGGATGGATTTTCTAGATATAATCAAATTAAAATGCATCTAGATGGCGAGAAGCACATAGCCTTCAGAACTCTAATGCTCTTCAGTTTGAAGAATGCTGGAGCTACCTATCAACACACAACGAACATGATCTTTCACGAGCACTTACACAAGACAATGCAATTCTATGTTGATAATCTTGCAATCAAAAGACATTGCAAAGAAGATCACCTTAATGATTTGAGGACAGTGTTTGACATTATACGAAAGCATCAACTCAAGATGAACCTAACTAAGTCTTTCTTAGGAGTATTATCGAGCAAGTTTTTAGGGTTTATTATTACATCCAAAGGGATACATGTCGACCCAGAGAAAGTCAAAGGCTCAAAGCTATCCATGAGATGTCACCTCCAAGAAATCTCAAAGAACTTAGAGGTTTAGAAGGACGTCTTTCCTACATCCACATATTCATAGCTAATCTGTTCGAAAAACGCCAACCATTTCAAAGGTTGATGAAGAACGACATTTTGTTTGTTTGGAACGATGCTTGTCAAAAAGCCATCGACAAGACTAAAGAATATCTCATGAAGCCACCT